TATATATATATATATATATATATATATATATATATATATAGTAAATATTAAGTTCAGCAAACTTATACTTGAGGTGATTGCCAATCGAAAAGCGTGACCCACAAACTCCCTTAAATTGGAGTTCAAGGTAGAAATTATTCTCGTTTCATTTTTTTGAGAATGTTAACTTTGTATTGAAAAAAGAGAGGGTACACTATTGCATCCCAAAATTTCGAGATCTAATTACAGACTTGAAAAGCCAAGAAAAGAAAAAGACTTAGGTGATTCGATCACACTAGGGGGGACTGAGGCTACAAAAAACATTCAGTCCCCTAAACTTGAAGCTTCTTGTTTAGTGAGGGAATCTGCGTGGGAATTGCTTTCATGTGAGACATGTCATCATGAGACTGTGAGACCCGAACACAAGTGAGAGATTTCTTCAAAAATATGCGTGAGGGGCCAGAGTTATGTAACAGTGCCAGAGGCCCAACGAATTACGTTCCTGGAGTGGCCTTCAATTTCCAAGGTAGATGACCTGTTGCGATGGAAATTATTCTCATTGATCTTGATGTGTCACCAATGTTATCAATTACTCTAATCATTCATTGGAACTCTTAAATAATTTGGTTATCTGAAATTATCCCCTACAATACCCTGATTAAGGCAAATGATCATCATCCTATGTGACTAGATTCTCGCTCAAATACCTTGAAGAATGTGGATGCATTTTTCTTCCGTATGCAGCGACCATGAATCACAACGCATGAATCAACGAAACATGACTGTGTCTATGATACCAAACTAGGAAAGAAGCAAAAGAGAAAAACAAATAGGTTTTCAGAGAGCAGAGTTACAGAGAGATGCAAAACTCATAAAATTGCTAGCAAGCATCATTTCTCATGACTTAAATATAGGAAACACTAATCTTCATCAAAAATATACCCCTAAAATCATATCATCCTAAGGAACCATAAAATTTCAAAACTGACCATTTTCAAACTTTAGGCTCATATTTGAGGCCTAATTCAACAAACTTTAGAAAACCTATAATGACAACCAGCAAGAGATTGAAATCTAAGGGATCACTAATTCAAGGAAGCACTAAGTAACAGCTCATTTGTTTCCACTCCAGAACTCTGGTTGTAACTCAGCCAATTCCATCTCGTACGAACACTACAGTGCCTCTTGCTATCCCACTTCAAGGCCCAACTCTTTCTCCTTTGGAATATCACTTCGCCACCCCTTCATGGGGAGAGACATCTCTCCTCTCCTGGCTAGCAACAATGCCACACACACCTCATCCCCTTGGCACTTCATCGGCACTCCACTCGAGTTACCTCAGCCTCAACCTTTTGCAAGCCACAAACCACTACCCCTTGGTACCAATCCGAAAACATCCGATTCATCATCAACACAATCCAACCTCCTTGTTGGCCATTTCACCTAACTCTGCAACCATAAATTTTCCTCATAACTCTAGCCTACCCAATATTCCACCTCCATAGCTTTACAATAAATACTCAAAATTATTAGACCACCAAATGGAACCACGATATCCCAACCTACCCTCAGAATCCTACAACAACCTTCCTCCAAGTTTCCCGTGCCTCAAACCCCCATTCATCATCCCCCACTCTACCAATATTATTCGAATCAGCTCAAAGCATAATTGTTGGAAATGCCTGAGAACCCGAATCGTTTTAGGAACCGGAATCACAGAATCAATGCCGGCTAGAAGATTCATGTCTTAGGAATCATTGTCTGTACAATAGGAACTCACTAGGAATGAGATTCCTAGTTTTTTAGCATCGTGTTTCGACCGAAATAGATCCAAGTTTCATCCACATATGGAATCGAGATTTTATCCTCCTTGGAATCGACACTCCAGGAGTCAAGATTCATTAATATGCGGAATCGAGTTTTCGACATCTATGGAATAGAGATATGTTGCTATGTCAAATCGTGATTCAAACATATTTCCCTCTCGACCCGAAGTGCCCAATGCAGGCCCCCCTCGTCCCGTCCTCCCCTCTGTATCGTCCACCCAAAAAGGAGACCCGGGGTGGGTCACCAACCATCTCGGGCTCTCCCTTGGACCCGGGTCCATCTTTTTTGAAATCCCCTCCCCGTCCCCCCCCCCCCCCTCCTCTGCAACCACCCTCACTCCATCCTCTCCAGCCAAACGTGTGGCAACCACCTGAGCCGCTCCCTGCCATGCTGTCTGTTTCCGCTGCTCCTCCTGCCCACGCGTCGCAGGAACCTCCCTCCAGCCCACCGACATGTCCTGACGCTCCTCTGTCAGCCTCGTCGGCCTTTACCGCCCCGTGCCACTTGTCACACTCTCCTCATCCCTCTGTCTTTCCCTCACCTACCCCACCTTCCAGCCCACCGACTTGTCCTGATGCTCCTCTGTCAGCGCCATCGGCCTCTACCATCCCGTGCCACCTGTCACCCTCTCCTCATCCCTCTATCCTTCCCTCACCTACCCCATCCTCGTCCCTTCCTCCTTGTGATGTGGCCTCTTCCCTCACCCTTGATATCTCCCCTTTTGGGCTCTGGGCCCTCCTTTGTTTATCGAGGACAGCCCGACAGATCCGTCCCTCTCTCATCTGCTTGCTTATGACCCGCCCCCCCCCCCCTTGTACCCGACCCTATCATCCCTTCCGCCTCTTCGACTACCCTTGTTCTTCACCCGTGCCCCCTTCCCCCGTTTGTGCGGGGTTCCCCTCCTGGAGTCATTTCAGGGTCTTCTGACACATCATCAAAGGTAACCACCACGACTCTTCCTGCTCCAACAAGCATACCGTCCCCTCTATCGGTTGACATGTCGATGCATTTCTCCCCCGCATATCGGCATCTCCACCTCCTGTCCTTCGCTCTCCCCTGGGCCTTTTAGAGACCACCCCCCCTGTC